TCTGTTAACTTTTTTATTATGTTCTAAATCTAAATATAAACATCTTAACTACAGTTGCTCCCAGCCTGATATTGTCCTGAGAGCCCTACTTTTACATAGTACTTCCTCGCGGAAGTTCCTTTTAAAAGAGATTCTAGCAAATGCCAATGTACGATAAAAAGATGAAGGCTTACAGAAAAGTAAATTGAATTTTTTTAACGTGTGCTCAGATTATTGTAGGAAAGCCTCTCTTGGCCTTCGCTTTATTAGTAAATCTTCTTGGCTACAATGTCGCTAATTAAACAATCAAATTTCAAACTTTCATGCCTATTTGCTCAGAAGTCATAGCTGACCATTTGGATCTCGAATAGGTGGGCATATTTGCATTAATCTTATGACCATTGATGCTTTAGTGAAATTCATGATGCTAAGGGTTTCAAATTCTGCTATCCGTCTTACTCACATATGATTACTTCTCCATCTATGCGCATGATTGTACCTTCAAAATAAACAAAGACGATTCATTGAGAAAACGAATCAAAAGGATAATATTGTAAAACTGATCTCTCTTGCTCTCAATGGCGTTAAAAATTTTGAAGGGACGTACGGGTTTTTTTCTTGTTTTTTTTTCTTCAGCAATGCGGCAGGGATAAGATGAGAGAATTTTCTACAATAAAAGTTCTGTAAATTTGGCGGATGGTTGCTTTGTTTGTAATGTCGCAAGAGGAGCATTTTATCATTTCAATAGTAGCTCAGAAAATTTCAGTCCTATTACAATCTACCTGTCCAGGCATGAGAATTATGCACCTTCAAGTTATCCTTTATCCAGCCAAGAAAGAGCAGCAGAATAAATGTCAAGATCTTAGTGTTTGTTCGTATTTTCATGTGGGTGTAATTTAAACATGCAAGAAAAATTTGCTGGCCTAGGGCGGAGTTCATTTTAGAAAATTGAAACGAAAAAAAAAACATGGAAACTTGTTCTAGATTTCCATCATTGCTGTTACTTTAGATAAGACTGTTTTGAATTCTTTCACCTATAAACTTTCGGCTTTTATCACCACTATGTACCAAGCGTATTTTTTTGAAAACTATTACCATTAGTTTTTTTTGCTATCAAGTCTTTTCCGCAACAGGACATACTGCAGAAACTGTTTGAAACAAATGCAGCATAGATGTCTTTTCAGAAAATATTGATGGAATTATACTGCGTTTGTTGAAAATAACTTTGATAGTTAAGCTACATCACATCATCTGAAACGTTGTGTTTCGTTTCAATGAAGGTTGAAGGGATGCTTGATGAAGTGCCGATCTTATGTTGTTTCTACGTATGAACACTAATTTGAACAAATTAGTATATTGTGCTTCTTGAATAGGAAAAATCATAGGCCCATAAGAATTTAGAATTCAGTATAGGTATTTCACCTCAGCAGTGACGGAGATGCATCCGGCGATGGTGGCTGCTTTTGGTTGAGCTCCGCTCATACCTCCAAGACCAGCTGTTACGAAAACCTTACCCTTCAAATCGTCCACACCCAGATAACGACGCCCAGCGTTCATAATAGTAATCTGAACTTTGCGCTTCAACATATACCTCCAAAAGCCGTAATTCAGTTTATTACCGTTGTTCCATGCACAATTCCCTGAGGTCCAATGTAGGCGAAGCTACCAGCAGTCATCTGCCCGTACTGTGTGACGCCGAGTGCGAACAA